AACAATTCCTGAGCCTAGGTATTGAACAGACGTTGGTCCAAGAGCGCTCGCCGGCCAATGGGCTATTACATTTTTTTAATTTATTTTTGCATGAACCATTGGATTGGATGGATCCCACTCCCATGCCTGCTTAATAATTTTCACGTATTGTATTGTGTTTGTCCATTGACTGGTATTTTGTGGATTTTTTGACTTGCGTATTGTTTAATTAATCCCTATTACTTTAGGGACTCTAATTGGAGGGTCAGCACGTGGGCTACTTGGTCAATGATTCAGATTCTCCTTTCTGTGGCCGATCCATAATCAAAATCCCATGTGATAATTGATACCTAAGTGACGTCAGAGAATCTTATAATGCACCATGAGTCACAGTGGAAAAAGCTAATATGGAATCTGTAACTGCTATTTATGCTGTGCAAGCAAACATGGTTATGTCGTTATAAGTTAGGTTGCAATATTTGTATAACTTATAATTACGTGTTGCTTCATCTCTGAAGTGAAACCTTCGCAAACAACGCTGAAATAGAATCATTACGTTCCATGGGCCAAAAAATCCAATGAAAGGCAAAAGAATGAAAAGCCAAGTCAATCATCAAGCCAATATCCAAAGTCCATAGGCCACGTCCTAGCAATCTTCTCGGCGCGTCAACCTGCATTGCCTACTGGCTGCTCTGTTTGACTTTCATGCCCTCAATCAAAAGCTCTCCTTTTCTGTTCTCATATGCCTATTTTATACTCGAGATGCGTAGCCACTGACACTCTGCTTGAATCAATATTAGCAAAATTAAGGCAAATCCAATTTCTCTCTGTCCCTTGGAATTAAAGAAAAATGTTGTCTGGTGGTCGTGACAGAATGGGACTGCCATCTCATGTGGTCCCAAACGGCAGCGCTTCACAGGACTCCGGCCATGCCCGTCTCCATGAACTTGGCTACAAACAAGAGCTCAAGCGTGACCTCTCGTACTTTTTCCAAATTCCAATTTTTTCTTTCGTTTTGTTTTGAAAGATCTCTTCTTTTTCTAGTTTTGAGGTTTTTTGGTTTATGGGTTAGCTCGTTTGGAATTGCAGGCTGCTTTCAAATTTTGCCTTTTCATTTTCAATCATATCGGTGCTTACCGGTGTGACCACTCTTTACAACACTGGACTCAAATACGGTGGTCCAGTTTCTGTTGTTTATGGATGGCTTATCGCTGGTTCTTTCACCATCTTTGTTGGGTTGTCCATGGCTGAGATTTGTTCTTCCTACCCGACTTCTGGGGGTCTATACTATTGGAGTGCCAAGCTCGCTGGCCCAAGATGGGCACCCTTTGCTTCTTGGCTCACTGGCTGGTACTTTCCTCTCCTTTCAGTTATTCCTCATTCCTGATCACTTTTACCAACACTGTTACTCGTTTAGAATTTGATTGCCTAAAAAGGGACTAAAATTTTGGTGTTCTGTTGGGGTTATGGGATCTGGAGTGCCTAGATGAATATGTTGGTTGACTAGTTGAGCTTTATAGCTCCTGTGCATTATAGCTTTCACAGCATGTGTACCATGTTTAAGTAATCTTACGAGTGTGAATATCTTTCATTCTTCGTTTTGCTGTGCTACTATGTCCTAGTTATCTGTTCCGGAGCTGTATAACTCAGATTCTTGTCGGAATAGCTGTATAAGGTCAGATTCTTGATTGATGATGTGTAGTTCTTTAGATTAGGTTGATTTGGTTACTCGCGATTTTGGTGGGGATTAACTCTAGGACGTGCTCAACATGAATAGCTCTATCTGTAGATGAACTAAATTACGCATCATGCCAGCAATAATGATCAATTTACTTTTGAACTGGGATGAATAAGTTTTAATAGAATTTATGTGGAATGCGAGTAGTCTCTGGTGCTTCCGCTTTAGAATTTTTTTTTTATATAACGTCGAACTATCTTCACAAATATGTTTAAGATGCTCAACTCTTGTTCGCTATACCATCTCAAGCTGGAATTATTGAAGCCTTCAAATTTTATACTGCTATTGATGCATATGCCATTTTGTCTTGTGATGTTCTCAAACACGCATGGGCTAGAATGGTGAAATTGTTACCTTGTTTATTCTGAGCCTAAAACTGAAATGTATATTACGTGCAACTTTAATCTCAAGACTTTCCAAGTTGGTCTCTCTGCTATACTATTCTCTGATGACAGTAAATGGTTTTATGTTTTGCAGGTTCAACATAGTTGGTCAGGTAATTGTAAAAACTCTTATGTTGTGAAGTTTAAAATCGTTCAATATCCATTCTGAGGGTTGTTATGGATCTGATATTTCCATTATAAGCTCTAACTGCATTGCTACCTTCCAATTGCAGTGGGCAGTCACAACGAGTGTGGATTTCTCACTTGCACAGCTGATTAACGTAATCATTCTCCTTAGCTCAGGTGGAAGAAATGGTGATGGTGCTTCGGGAGATAAATATGTAGTCATTGGTATCCATGGAGGAATTTTGTTTCTACATGCTCTCATAAACAGTCTTCCCATCTCGTACTTATCTCTCTTTGGACAGCTAGCTGCTGCATGGAATATTGTAGGTATAACGTATTTTCAAGCACTTTTCACTTTCCTAGTTTTCAATTTATTGCTTGAGGATACCTATATCTTGGATTTCTTATTGCTATTGGAATACGTAGGCGTCTTTGTCCTTATGATTCTCATTCCCTGTGTTGCAACGGAGAGGGCAAGCGCCAAGTTTGTATTCACTCACTTCAACACTGATAATGGGGAGGGAGTCAACAACAAAGTTTACATTTTTGTTCTGGGACTCTTAATGAGTCAGTATACCATAACTGGCTATGATGCATCTGCCCATATGGTAAGTTGATACCTTCATTACTTTCAACTTAATTCACTTACTTCATAAGATGCAATCTGTAAGGATGAATCCTAAGATCTCAATCAGATGCATCCTGTTTGTGGGAGTGCAAAATTATGGGATTGTCAAATGCTACATAATCTTTGTGTGTATGAAGTTGTCTTTTTTGTTTTTTGCTGAGCGAGTTGTATTTGATATTTCAACTTGCGTAATGTCATATTTGCATTAGCAATCTCATATAAACTCTAAGCATTATCAACTAAAGTAAAGTCATGTTTACATAATAACTATATTGTCCATACTGTAATGATACGATCATCAAATCAAACACAAGATGTTTGGAAATCAATAACGTTTTTAGCTCTTCTCTTTGTTTGATGGCTTAATGCTTGGTCATATAATTGTAACGAAATCTCCTTCAACTTCTGTTTCTAGACAGAAGAAACCAAGAATGCGGATACAAATGGACCAAAAGGAATAATTAGTTCCATCGTGATATCTATTATCGTTGGATGGGGTTATATACTCGGGATCACCTTTGCCGCTACTAACATCCCATACCTTTTGGATGAGACTAATGATGCTGGTGGTTATGCCATTGCTGAAATATTTTACCTAGCATTCAAGAGTAGATATGGCAGTGGAGTTGGAGGAATTATATGCCTGGGAGTGGTTGGTGTTGCCATATTCTTCTGTGGTATGAGTTCAGTTACTAGCAACTCCAGGTAAGCAAGCCTATTTTATGTCTCATACAACAAGAACCACTAGGCTTGACTTTAATCTCTCAGCTGCTCATAGTGCTTAAGTTTCTTCTCAGGATGGCTTATGCATTCTCTAGAGATGGAGCCATGCCATTTTCATCATTTTGGCATAAAGTGAATAAGCATGAAGTCCCAGTAAACGCAGTTTGGCTTTCAGCCTTTGTATCATTTTGCATGGCACTGACAGTAAGCACATCATTTGTTGCAATAAACTTGTATCTCTGTTTTTCTGCAACTGCTAAGCATATGTTTATTTCGTCTTTGCAGTCTCTTGGAAGCCTTGTGGCATTTAATGCCATGGTATCTATAGCAACCATTGGACTGTACATTGCTTATGCCCTACCCATCTTCTTGAGGGTGACCTTGGCACGCAAATCCTTTGTCGCAGGACCTTTCAACTTAGGACGCTACGGGCTCCTTGTTGGTTGGATTTCAGTGCTTTGGGTAGCAACCATCTCGGTCCTCTTCTCGTTGCCTGTTGCCTATCCAGTTACTATTGAGACACTCAACTATACTCCTGTTGCAGTTGGGGGTTTGTTACTTATTACAGTTTTAGCTTGGATCTTGCGTGCTCGGCACTGGTTTAACGGTCCTATAACCAACACAAATGAATGAACTTGTGTATATTCAGTGATTTTCATTTCTTCCAATCATCTATAGAAAAAGATTATTTTTTAAGCAAGGCATCTGCTGCAATTTTCTTCTTTTTAATTATATTCAAAGCTGATGACTTAATTTGTACAAATTACCCAATTTATGATAATACTCCAGGTTATACCAACGGAGTCTCGTCTCACAGCATTCGCAGAATCTGGGGGAGATGGCATGCTACATGGTATGCATTGACCTCCACAGCTATAAAACGCTGAATCTGCTCGTTTAACTGAGAATGGAGTATTTTCATATGCTCGTTTCAACGAGGCTTTATTGGTTTATATGGTGTGTGTACGCGGCAAATTTTTCATTTGATACAAACTAACTTTAACCAACATAAAATTTGGAAAGCACGAAATCTCATATAAAAGGAAATTTTCAGTTCAAGCTACTCTACTCTAACCTGCAGTATCTGTGAACTACCAACGTTAATTATGCCATGCTTGAATGGAAAAAGGGGGATGCACTTAATTTTTGAAGTCTGAATCAGGAACAACAATGTTCTGGTTGAATGCACCCAAAATCTATTTTTCTATAAATTAGTAAACTGAGTAATCAGCTTACAACAACTTAAGAGGAAACATATGCTTCGAGTTCATTGTTACCAAATTTTATTTGGAGAGACCTATTGACATGAAACTTCATCTGCATTCGAACTCATAAGCTATTGTGGATCGGTGCTGTTTTCAGAGGAAGTTTTTCTTAACCGTTCACAGCAACCATCCACATGACCTGCATCTGGAGCTTATGACTATAGAGGGTCTGTGCTATTTTCAAGTAAAGTTTCCCTTAGCCATTCACAGTAACGATCAGCATCACCTGCATTTGGTACACTGCCAACACAGCTGGCCTCCTGTGGGTCTTCTTCAAGCAGTTTCAACAGCTCATCATACTCTGAAAGGGGTTGGTTCTCGTTTGGTGAACTAGCCTCTCCAGCTGTAGTATCCAGCTTCTGGCTGCCATCATTGAAGTCTGCCGGAAATTTGTTTGGATTGGTTGTATTGCCTGAAGCTATCTGTTCTGGCACAAACTCAAGTAATTCAGTTGTTAATCTTGCACCTTCTGTTGAAAACTGGTTCTGATTTTGGGAATCGAAGGGACCGGTCAAAGATGAAGTATAGTATTGCTCTTGATTCATGACAGAAGGCTCATTTGGGACCTGAAATGTGTTTCCTGATATGTAGGGAGAAGCAGCAGCCTCTGGAGTCATGTAGTTCATACTTGGAAAGTGGCTTTCACTTGTTCTAAAACTGTTCTCTTCTATTCCAAGAGGTTGTTGGTTCATGATTTCATTCATGCCAGCACCGTATCCAAAACTGCTTGTTTCCCTTATTTGGTTCAAATTTTGAAACTGCCCTTGAGATCTTAAATAAAACTCACTAGGGTTGTTGGTATGATGATTTGTGTAGTGAGACAAGATTGTATGTCCCGAATATAGATTCTGCCTTCTGTAGTCATGATTGTTGAAACCAGCTAGAAGGATAGGAGATGTGATCAAAGAATTTGGAGCATCTAATTGTGCTGTATTACCTTGGACTCCAAAACTTGATGTCCTTTGATCATATTGGCATACCAGAGAACTTTGCTTTGCTGGTGGGAATTCATTTCTGTTGATGCAATTCGATAATCTACTTAATGAAGAAGGTAAGCTAGTTGTGTCCGTCCCACGAATTCTCTGAACCTGTTTTTTATATTTCTGGAAGGAAAGAATATAAATCCTATTTAAAACGGTTAACAAGATTAAGGATATTGGTAATAATGCATGCAAGTTCTCAACTTGGAAAAAGAAATGAAGCAGAAAGGAAAACCATATAGAATGGATATCATGCTGTATGAATTTTAATGGGCTGTAGAAGACAATGACACAAAAAGTTAGAATTGAATGAAAATATGCATAGTATCATATGGCAAAAACAATAATGCATGCTTTTGCCATACGAATTTGAAGATTCAAACAAACTAGGAAGAGAGAAAAAGGCAGATAAAGAAGAAGCATCTAGCACAACGAAGTCGGTTATCTTTGCTTTACTATGATTCAACAAATGCATAAATAATCAATCAAGAGTTAATTGATGGGAAATGACTACTTGGTTCTTGAGATATAAGTAGATAAGAAACCTGCAGATGGCTTGCAACCTGGCGCACTGTTATATTTGGCACATTCATCAATTTTAGAATTGCTTTTGGACGAGATTCTGGATCCAAAAAGCAAACATTAAAAGTGACAACAACTTGGTACTTTTTCAGGGTGAAGCATACTGCTGCACCACAAAGCACATAAAAAATTTAGATTGTTTGCTGAGAAAGAAGACTTACTTAGATCTCCTAAGGCACTTAGAGCTGCTGTAAACTTGAGATGCAGTTCTGGAGTCCAAACAGCACGGTGCTTTTTATCGCCGGTGGTGCCATTGCTATCCCGATTCACTTCTTCTTGCTCTTCTTTATCATCAATTGGTCGCTTTATCCCAGAAGCTTCTTGGGCTTTGCATGTCAAAGTGCAAGTGTTTTGTTTGTCAATGTCCAAAGCATGTCCAGTTGCAAGGCTACACTCACCACCAGCCTCATTCCTTTTAACACCTCCAAGGGGAGGCCTAAGCACATCACCAGCCTCATTTATCTTAATCCCTTGACAGTCATTTCCACTGTTCATTTTCGTTCCACAATTTGGTTTATGTTTGTACTTCCTTGGGGTTCTAATCTTCCGGTACACATGTTGCCACATGCTTTTCAGATCCTCCAGAGAAATTGGTTTCTCGAGGAAAAAACAGGCTCCTTCAGCTAGGGCCTTCTTGGCTACATTAACATTCATTTCGGAGGACATGACTGCATGGAAATTCAAGTTATCAAGCAGCTACTACACAAGAAGAAATTTCTGTAAGCCAAATATTCCAAATAGAAAACTTAAGATAAATTCAAAGCTTACATATGACAGGGATCTCCTTCTTGTGCAGTACACGCAGAAAAGAAAGACTGTCCATATCTGGCATGTTAATGTTAGCCATTACAAGCTTGTAGTCATCCTTTTGTTCCATAATCATGGACAAAGCAACAGATGCCATCTCGGTTGTGGTCACTGGAAGAAAAACACAAGACTAAGTTGAATTCCATTCAACATGAAGATTAACCAAGTTGCGAAGAACAAGCATCAAGATCAAATCACTTTCAAACTGTGAATTTATATCAAAAAGTACATATCCTCTCTATCCAATATGTTTTGATTGTCCTTTCCAACCATTTCTATATCAGTTTTCTTTCATGGATTGCCTCAAGATTTATGTTCACAAAACAAAATGTTTAAACTTTTGATCCAATATCAGTTATTTACATATCGGATACAAAAAAGTATTTGTATACGTTTATGCACACAGCCACGCAAATAAGATAAAAATTGTCAAGGAAGCACATTTTGATATAATAACTCTTAATATTGTGTTATAGACATAAAGCCACGTTTGACGTCTAGGATTAAATTGGATTGAATAACTCACAAGATTCAAGGTATGTTGAAGTAAGAAATGAAGATAGAGTTGAATGATTTTTCATTTTGTAGGGATTAGAAGGGATACATATTGATATCATATCATTTTGTGGGGATTGGATGGGATCATGGGCCATAACTAATCCATCTTCTACCTTCACCTTCAACAAAATTTGAAGATTGGCCTTGATTTCTTCCATCAACAAATCTAGTGAGTTATCTAATCAAATCCAATCTTAGACACCAAATGTGACCTATATGTATACATAAAACACAGGAATATTTATGTAAGCATGCCAATCTTATTTGAAAGATAAACAGACTACCATATATCTGTGCATGAAATTCAGATTATGGAATGAACAAATTTTAAAACAAATTATGCAGAGGAAACAAGAAATGCTCAAAATTATGACATGAACACATTTCTTTTAAGGATCATGTATATTATTACCCTTGAATGAGTATTGTTCAAGCGTTGATGCTATGCACATGAGGGACAATGTGTCATGATCTACCAGAAGGATTTTGAGGTCATGTGCAAAGCTAGGGAGACCATTAGTCTCTGTACGACTCATGTGTTCCATTGCCACCAGAAGACTCAGGACAAGATATTTGAGTGCAACAGAGAAAACAGGGGGCTTTATTGGTTTATATGGTGTGTGTGTGTGTGTGAGAGAGAGAGAGAGAGAGTGAGTGAGTTTGTGAAACGAGGCTCAAGCATAAACGAAGATGAAATGTTTTTGTTGAGGAGTTCTCTTATTTATATGAAGAAGAAGAAGAAAAAAAAAAAAGACTTAGAAATCTGCCAAATCTTAGTAAATCTTAGAAATTTGCCATAATATAACTCACATGTGATGTGAGCTAGGCTGCTGTGTGTGAACTAGAAAATTATTTTCATATCTGTTTCCAGGTTCAAGAAATGACAGATTCATGTTCTGCATAATTATAAAGGAATGTACTACAAAAAAGTTATGAACATTTTCCTTAATTCCACATTCAGCAGTTTTGACCATTGAGCTTTTTAGGTAATTCAATTCAATGTCCTTTGACATGCATTCTTATGAATTGAAAAAAGACAAAAGCAGTGAAGAAATTCAATTTTCTTCTGAGGTTCATGATAGTTTCTGTTGCATATGCTTTTCTGCAAAAGCTATTCTCCACAACTGATACTATCTTAGAAGCCCTTATTCTGATTAACAATAATTTTCCATTGATTTTCTTAATTTTAGTTCTAACAATCACTACCAATCAAGTAATTTGTTATGCTTATGAGCTCAAAATATAGAATTCAATGAGTCTGGAGAGAAATGTAAGGAATTTTTTTTCAGAAAGAGGCTGTTTACATGGAATGCCTTTTTCTTGACATATGTCTAGAAATGCCTTCTCTTAAAAAGGATAATATTTGCTCTAAGAAATAGCGAGTCAAATAGTTAGTTATTTGGGATTTAATGCGGTTTATTGAACTTAATTTGCTACGCACTCCCTTAGAATTGACTGATTTTATTTTGAAAATGGATGATCTCTACATTTCATGCTGCAGTGCAGCTGAAGCTCATTAGGGCAGTTATTCCATGACTCAATACTCAATGAATAAATAACGAAAATAACTTGAAGAAGGTGTGGTCTTTTACTAAGCATTGAGCAATTAGTTTAAATATGATTCATAGTGAAAAACTCGTTTCCTAGAGCTAAATTGACTATTATATTATCAAAACTAGCATCTTTGCCCTTTCTGTCCACCCTAAGGCGCGAAAAAATATTTTAGTTAAGTGCATTTAACGGATTTTCAAAAATTTAACTACCAATGCGTTTTACTTTATATATACACTAGTCTCTTGACCCGCGTTTATGCGCGTATTATTAAAGCCTTATATAAATATAAATATAAATATATACATATATATACTATATAAAGAATGATTAGATATATAATAACTATTCATAGTGAACAACTCGTTTCCTAGAGCTAAATTGGCTATTATATTATCAAAACTAGCATCCTTGCCCTCTTTGTCCGCCCTAAGGCGCGAAAAGATGTTTTAGTTAAGTGCATTTAACGGATTTTCAAAATTTTAACCACCAATGCGTTTTATTTTATATATACACTTGATCCGCGTTAATGCGCGTACTATTAAAGCCTTATATAAAGAATGATTAGATATATAATAACTATGATTAGATGTATTTTTTTTTTTAATATTTACCAATTTTTTTAATATATAAACTCATCTCTTTTTTCTTTCTTTCTGATTATATATTAATTTTTCACAAATTTTTGGTTTTTTTAATGTGCACACTATGTTGGGTTAATAGGTGAAGCACAAAGCCTCAGCACATAGATGAAGCCCAATTTTGGAGTTGGGTTAGGGCCAAAACCGATCTGTGTTTGATTGGCGGGACACTAAAACAGAAAACTTCAATTGAAAAGACGCTGATGTTATTTTTCGGTCGAATAGATATACTTGAGAAGGCATGAAAAGCAGAACAACGTCACTGGAGCCCAACAAAAGCTTGGGACCAAAAACAGCCTGAGCCGCAAGATACAAAAGAAAGAGCAAACGAAGTTGGAAAGGTGGTAGGGATACATCAACAAAATCATCTTAATTTTTACGGGTTGATGATGGTGAGGCTTACTCGTTACTCGTCAGGGTTTTTTTATTATAATTTTTTTTAATTTTATCATACCATTAGTGCAGTTATATCTGACTGTGATTTCTGATTTGCAGGAGGAATTTTCCGAAGAGCTTGAGCCCTTATTCGATTACAGACGTGTTCAGCCTCTCAATGTCGTTTACCTTGATGGTGAGCTCTTTTGGACTCTATTTGGTTGATTCACTTGAGAGGAGCAGAAAATTTTGAACCTTTTTCATCAAATAAGGCATTGAAATTTTAATCTTTTAGGGGTTTATACAGATTTAATTTTGGCGAGTTCAGAATTTGAAGTTTTCAATATCGTTGCCTTTTTAAAAAAAAATGTTTCTGGCAGACGATGATTTAGATGCTCCCTCAGCTTCTCCTCCAAAAAGGAGGAAAATTTCCGATTCTGCGGTAACAAATTTATATCCATATTATTTTACATTCATATGTACTGTGTTTGTTGTTTAAATTCCATATGATGAGAGGAATTGTTATAAATTGCAGTCCCCATATTTTATGATTATTTTCCTATTGGTGTTTTGGATTATGTTGGAATTAGGTTGAAAAGGTTGATGCCACTGTGAAGGCAGTAAATGTTATTGATTGTGGTGATAAGGAAGAGGAGGATTGGTTACCTCCTCCGCCCAAGGTTTCCCTTGACGCAAAGCTGCGGGGTGAGGATTCAACCTTAAGGGAGTTGAGGTATTTGAATTTTGGGTTTTTTTTTTTTTTGGGTGTGGATTTTGATTATTATTATCTTCTTAAACTTAGATTATCCTTGCCCCAAGAAGAAATTTGTGACACATTAGTGTCTAGTGTATATCTTTCCCGTTGTTCTTTAGATTCTAGTGGGTAAGTAATTGTGGTCCATGCATGTAGGTTAAAGAAGCAAGAGCTGGCATCACTTGCTCAATCAGCTGAAAACGTGATGCGAGCTGTAGAGGAATCTGTGAAAAGAGAACTTAGTGATTCATTGGAGGCTGTTGCCGAAAAACCCTCAAAGCCGCGTTGTGAAAGAAACAAAATTGTTTTATCTATTCAAGACAAAGATGGAGCTAAGCAATTTCGTATTTACGTGGTATGTTGTGCAGAAGTATTAACCTTTATAATATGTTTGTCTAGTAATTTTCTATTCCAAAAACAGACAAGTTTACTAGTTATTACTGGTAGGTAATGGAGTGGGAGTTCAGCAATATGGTATGCTGGTTCCCCTTATGAAAGGTAGGAGTTATGAGAGGCTGTTCATATATAAATCTAATCAAGGGGTTCAGCAATGGACAGGTTTTCAACACGTGACTGCTAAATTTTTTATTTTTCACAATTTACCAGTGTTCATATCTAAACCTAAAATTCATGAAAAACTGTTACAAAGCATAGGTTTTCTCAAAACAGAACTTCCTTGTGCCTGTTTTGGTACATTTTCTGCATATTTTCCTTCTCATCTTGTGGATCACTTTATATTTCATATTGTGATTAATCAAGTTGAATACATGGTACATTTTACCTTCCTCTTTCTGACTCTGAATATTAAAAAGATAAGGTCGAAGATTTCTTCTGTAAATATCCCTTCCTAGTTCCTTGCTGCCTCACTTTTTTTACATGTTACTTTGTTCCGTATTCTTTGGCCTAATCTTTGATGTATATGCAGGCTATGTGATATTAGACATTGTAATTTTTAATTATGTTTCTTCTACTTTAATAGGACGACAAGTTTGAGCGGCTCTTCAAAATGTATGCAGATAAAGCTAAGCTTGACCTTAAGAGTTTGGTGTTTTGTTTTGATGGGGACAAGATAGGTCCAGCTGCTACACCTGATGCCCTTGGCATGGAGGACAATGACATCATTGAAGTGCATGTTACCTCGAGCTGACATGGTATGGTCATTTCACAATCAACCTCCCACTTGTTTGCTTTGTTAAATTATGGCTTTAGGGCATATCCATATACTCATCCTATTTTGGTTCATATTTAAGTTTTATGTATAAAATTATAAATACATCATTCCTACAAAAAAAGAAAGTTTGAACACGTCCTTTGGTGATTGACTGATAGTTATGTTGAGATTAGTTAAATAGAAGGCTGGGTTGTGCTTAAATTTGGAAGGGTGGACATGGTATGGGGTGGTTAAGAACAAGAACCTGTTTTTCAAGCTTCAGAACTGGCAGAATGATAACTTGTTCCCACATTAAAATCTTTGTGTGCCAGGAAAGCCTCTTTTCCGATTTAGATAGCCACCCTTCTAGTTTGAAGATGCTCATCGTCTCCAGAATGGAATTATGAAGATTTGCTCTCCATTAATCTTATACCTAGGTGGTTAAGGTTGTATTTTTGTTGTTGATAATATTATTAAGACCACGGTTGGGTAGTTGGATAGGCATACTAAAAGCTGAAGTCCCTCAAATAATTCATTCAAAAGGGGGAATAATTGTCATATCATGTAACCATCCCTGCTGCTTATGCTTATTCTTTCGATATATTCAGTGGCGTAGATTTAGAAAGCAGAAGCTGAATGCTGTTTGTGGCATGGAGAAGAAGTTGACAGATTCTAGCAGAGTTGAATTTTTTGTTTTCGGGAACGAAAACCCTGTCTAGATTCACCTCCGTTTTACTTGCTTTGTTACTGCTGCTGAATATAAATTTTTGTTGTCGATGTTTATTTGTTATCTTTGCACAATGTTATCAATACTTTTTTAGTCTGAGTTTTTGGCATACAATATTTTATGTTTTTGTTGCTCAATTCCTTTTAAATTCTTATTGCTTCTTCTTTGAATTCAGGTTTTTCTTCAACCAAGGCACTAAAACAACCAACTTGACGACTCTATTGTGGGGACAAGAAGCACCTGGATGTTTGATCTTTTCGAATAATTTTGTAGTTTGTGCAGTACCTGCTCTCTAACTGTATAGTGTTATTTTGAAATTATTTAGGAACAAGTGCAAGCTTCAAAGTTACATAGCTTGGAGAAAGGAAACACTCCTCGCTTGTTTTGTGGACGTGAACAGTGGACCTAATTGAATTTGAGTGTGCCTAAAACTTGTTTTTCATTAAGCAGCACATTGGCTTCTTTACTGGAATTTAACTTATGCATAAAATTTTGTTTTCAGATAGCTTTCCATACTGCAGTGCTTTATATGTTATCCTACATTTGAGTGAAAAGAACCAGAATCTAGCTGCCAGCAATCAAATTTGAAATATTTTGCGAACAATATATGCCCTTAGTGTTCGTGTAGGTGGCTCGATACAACTCATAATGTGTAAGTTATACATTGAAGAATACTTCTACAATTCAAATATAGATGGTCCACTCTTAATTGCATCAATGTCTTTTAAGTTAAAATTCCACATCTAGAGATCCATTGAGTTCAACTCAACTTAAGAATTAGACTTAGGTGGTTAAAATGGGGACAATATCGGTGCTAAATTCCTATAGCAGTCTAGTTGAGCAAATTCAAAGGCACATAATTCAGAGCAAGATTTTCAGAACAATATATGTCCTTAGCACCTTTCCGTAGATACAAAAGAACAAAACTACTTTATATAACAGAAGGAACAGCCATTGGCGGAAGCAGGCGAGATTTTGGATCACATGGATCATACATTTCACGTGCACTCAGAGTCACTCGGTCTCTTCTCTTCGTCTCAGAGTCAAGAGGGCAATTGGATAACGTGGATGATGATCCCGTTGTCCACGAGAGCCACGTATTCAAATCCACGCTGGAAAGTTTCATCTCATAAATGTACACGTCAAACCCAGAAAGTGTTAAAAGGGATAAAAGCAAGAAAGAACAAGACCAAACACCAAAACAGGTCAGAGCTCAGTCTGCCTCTGAGCTTTTTAATTCCCGGGACAATGGAGAGAGGTATTTTTTTTCCTTCCATTTGCTTTGTCAAGTTTCTGAGTTTTATCTCTGAAATTATAATTGGTTAAATCCATCAGGTTCTTTTCAGTTGCGATCGCCTCTGTTTCTTCTTTCGATTACTTGTGATCTTAAAAGTTCCCTTCTTTTTTTTCTCTCGAATGTTTCACATACTTCAAACTTGTAACCGGACACAACTCAACTTGCATTCTTAGCTTGAAATTTCAGAGCTTGACATGTCTAATTTGCATTGGCAAGTTTGATATGGGAATTTTCCCACACCTCAACCATCCGCATCTGATCCAACAACTGAGAAATATGATTCTATTAAGATCCCAATAGAAAATCTCGTATATTTATGTGTATGATGGTAAATATTAGTTAGCCTTTCCATGTTTGACTCCACTCAATACTTTGCTTGTTATGCTGGAATATTGTTTAGATCGTGGAAACTGTGGCAGATCAACTAGGACTATAATTTTTTCTTTTACTTCCCAACTGAAAAAAGATGGTATCTTTCTTCATAAAAATAAAAAGATGGTATCTTTACTGTTGATTATATCTGACAGCGAGAGGGCTCAGCGGAATGGGGGTTTCAAAGTTTTAGAGGCCGTAGTTTTTGTGAAGTAAAGAAAATGAAGAAATTATGTGAGTTTTGCTTGGTACTAAGGCCAGTTGTGTACTGTAAAGCTGATGCAGCACATCTTTGCCTTTCCTGCGATGCAAAGGTCCACTCAGCAAACACTCTTTTTAACCGACATCTGCGTACCATCTTATGCGATTCATGCAAATACCGCCCCGCTTATGTTCAGTGTTTGGATCACAAGATGTTTATGTGCCGTGTCTGTGACATTACCCTGCATATTGCTTCCCAGCATCAGAAAAGGGCAATTAGCAGTTACACAGGTTGCCCATCTGCTAAGGACTTCGCAGCATTTTGGGGTTTTGAATTCAACGAGCTAGACAGTAGTGCGCATCTGGATGGAACTCTCTCCACTTCTTGTGGCTCTTCCTGTGACTCAAGTGTAGTAAACTTAGGTAGTTGTGAACAGTCTTGCTCTCAAGTTGAAGGCTTTCCAGCAGCAAATTCTCCCACCCTGGCTCCAGGTGGAGATTCTGAAGTGGGTTCAAGCAGTCAACAATACAAGGTAGATTGACAGGAACTATCTGCATGTTCTCTTTAATCTTTAATTTCGGCTAACAATGTAATTGGCACTGTTGAAATACCTCATGAAACTGCAATGAAGGTAAATCCTTGATATGGGACAAGGTTTTAGTTTTCAAGAGTGTGATATCTAGTTCATGATATCCATGCTTTAAAAAACTTTAGAGTATCATAGATGGAGTTTCTCTTGATAATGAACATCCACCATTATGAATGAGATGCAGTCTCCTGTGACTAGTTTGGGGCATTCACTATAATTTCCAACATTAAACTGTATCTAGTGCTTGAGTAAATATACCCATTAAAGTCTGCACCATGTCTTCTCAATTGGCATCTTCTATCTTGCATATGTCTCATGAAGGTCAAGAGCATATAAAAGCACTTGTTTTATTCTGCACCAGATTCTTGACTTAAAAAGGCTTCAGCTCACTGAAGGGAGCAGCCCTTCGCTTCTGATACGTGGCAAAGAACAAAGTGACTTATCTTCTTCAGTACTTCACACATCAGAGAGGTTCGATGATAATCTTGATCAGAGTTTACAACATTCCAAGATTACTAGATTTGGGCAAAGGGACAGTCTACTTCAGGATCTGAAAGTTGATAATTTGCCATTTCCATTTTCTCAACTGGAGCACATGCCACCATCTTCAACTGCTGGACTTCCGTTGGATACAGAATTGTTTTGGCAGTGCAGAAATCCGGTTGAAAGTTGTCAGGTTTGATCAACACCAGTGCAAATCATTTATTTGGACTAATATGTAGTAATAAATCACCTGTTGTTTGTTTGAACACTGATCTCTTACTGTTTATAAGTGCCATGAGAGAAAGGAGAAGTTCTAATTATGTTCAGCTTATGCAGGTAAAAGTTGATACTCTGTATCTCAATGAACCGTATGGATTGTGTTAACCATTTGCTGCCAACTTGCCATCACTTCACCATTAATTGAATAGAAACTCTGACAGGAAAATATCTACGTGAAATAAATTCTGGTTAAGCAATGCTGACTCCAGTGAAATTCCATTACAGTAAACGGCAGGCTTGATGTTTGGATTTCCTATTATAAATTTCTTGATGCTAGGCTGATGGTCCTGCTTACATTACATGCTATCTTCAAATGCATCACTTATATTAGATCTTACTCAATGCTGTGGCTACCTTATCATGGAAAATATATGTCAGTATAACCATCTGATCGTGATTTTATTTTGCAGCTGTGGGCTCAAAATATGCAAGACATTGGGGTTTGTGAAGAACTTGTTTGTCATGATGATTTTAATATGCCTGATGTTGATATGACATTCCAAAATTTCGAAGAACTATTTGGAGGTGATCAAGATCCAACCAGAGCACTGCTTGATGATAAAGATGTATCATACTCCTCAGTGTTGAAGTATATATCCCTTGACAAATCAGATAATGGCCATGCAACAGCAAGGATGGTGTGAATTTTGGCTTCCCTTCTCTTCTTTTATTTAAATCGTCCAATTACCATAGAATAGTCACCAAGGTTCCTTTGATTAGAACATGTGCTAAATATTACCCTCCAAAAAAAATGGTTTCTGACAGGAGCATGATGCGTCAGAGGTTTCGTCTATTTTCTTTAACAAAGTTCAAAACCTTGAAGGAAGCATGGATTATTGCCCATGTGTTATTCAACCATCTTCTTCAACTTTGTCATTCTGTAGTGCCAAAAGCAGTGGTACCGATTGTCATGAAAGCCGGCTTTCACCCTATATTGCCACAGGGGAGACTTCAAGAAATTCACCTCATGACCAAGAGGGTGGGCGCTTTGAAGCCAGAGCAAATGCCATGACGAGGAACAAAGAGAAGAAACATTCCCGACTGTAAGTATTAGGGATTCTCTGCTCTAAGCTCTTCCAGTTTGTTTAAGTGTTGCTACATCTCTTATATAGAGAGAACATGCAATTTTTTGTTTTCAGGCTTGTGAGAAAAAATCGATATCCATTTAGGAAAGGTACAGCTGATAACGTAAGCGGGAAAAAGGCAGAGTTGTGAAGAGGAGAGAAGACTATGACTCTGACACTGTAAATGTGACAAGAAGCTATTAAACTTCTGACCACAAGAAGTTATTGAACTCTTCATTGCATGTTGGTCTTGTACATACACCATGGTACCAATGAGATTCTTGGGTTGGGTCCTATAGTCGGACCAATTTATCCGTTCAACTATACTCACAAGCACATAGAACACTAGGACCCCTTGCTTGTGTGAGTGCGGTGGGACGGACGAAGTGTTCCGACCATGAGCCCAAATTAAAAGAAAATGCAAATTGAGTAACCGCTGAAAGCCAGTTTTTGTTTCTCACATAAGTAAACATGATTTCCAACATAATGCTGGAAAAGAAAGAAACTATCATGTACCCAAGACCTCAAAGATGTTTAATGTTTAGAAGGTGGATAGAAACGCAGGGAAATTTTGGGCCATTTGGAGGAAATTCTAACAAAAACGTGCATCAGATATCTTTCAAACTATTATACATTCATGTTTGTAATGGTTACAGTCGCTGTTGTAGGCATTGATCTATGCGTCAAATCTCCTAACTTAGGCCAACATGGTAACAGTTGCTATCAAATATAACTGTTAACAATATCAAATTCTCAAAAATTTCTTTCATTCAGAACTTGTGATTTCAGCTAGTGAGTTTTGATGAGAGCAACATCCAAGCACTCATTACTGGGAAGGTGATTAATGCGGAAGCCTGTAAATTAGCAACTCCAATTAAGGACAATACCACAGGAAAATGCTTAGATGGGAACGTATTTCTTGGGAAAAAGCTGCGGCAGAAAGGAGTACAGAAATAATTAAAGAACAGAGAAAATTGACTACATACCATAAAGAAAACTAATTCCTCATTTGCAAGAGCTGCTGTGAATTCATTCTTTTCCAGTTTCAGGCATAAAGAAATGTTGTAACTGCCTTCAGAGTTCCTGAAAATTAGAAAACCAACCACCAAAGTTGGAAACTATGCTATAAAAGTAAAGGGATATGCAAATGTAACAACAGCAGAATGGCAGAAAGCTACAAAGATGTACCGCAGGAGTGGCCTCAGGGTCCTCCTAAAAACTTTGAAGAAATATTTTCCTTTTCCAACAGCTGTTACAGACCAATTAACAAAAGACTTTTGATACATACCTCATGGTGAGACCTTTTAAAATCTGCAAAACTCTCTTGAACTGATGCAAAGCTCGAGATAAATAGGATCTGAGTTAGGCCCAAGCATCTTCAGCAGAGGGTCATCAGAAAAGTTGTTTATGAACTGCAAACCATCAGATTTGTTGAGTTAATGTGAGAGTATATTTTGTAAAAAGCAAAACAGGTCAATTGTCGAAAAGACCCATTTCAGTAAAACTTTTGAATTTAGCAAATGAAGAACCTAAAGCCAGTTTCAAGCAGAAAAAACTTGTGTAATATGAAGAGCCTGCTCAAGCCGCTGAATTTGAATCCATTGCTCTGTAACAATGTCAGGCATTTGAAAGCAAAGAGAAAGAAGCCAATGGCAAAATGAACACCACACTAACAACATCACACACTCATAGCCATAGACCATAGATAGATTGAGTACATCAGTGCATGACCTTTTGCACCTGAGAGGCAGCCGTTTCGAGTCTATCCTCAGCATCTTGTGCTTTAGACTCTAAAACATGAAGATCGAAGTTGTACTTTCTTGATGCAGCCCACAGAAGCCGTACCTAAAAAGCATTGCAAAGCCTAATTCTCAAATCCAACAAACTCTTTCTGCTACTTTTTCATTGAATTGAATTTGCAAAAAGAAATTGAAAAAGATATGAACCTCTTCTTCTAGAGTGTTAAGCCTCTCCCAATGAGTCTCCCTGTGACATTCAAATGCAACCAAATATTATATATTTGCTTTCAATTTAGAATACACTTGAAATCTGAAGACTTGAAGCTGAAACGGGAAACAAACCTTAAGAGTGAACAAAACAGATTGCAAATGATGGATCTTCTGCGCCATGTCGTCAACACTCTTCGATACGATCGATTTTCTCATTCAGATTTTGAACACTTTCTGCTAGAACTGATTCTGCATAACAAAATTAATAACAGCTAAGAAGAAAATCATGGGTAACAAATTGAAGAATTTTTTATAAAAAATAAAAATAAAGTTTGAAGTGGGAGTAAATACCCCGAACAAATAAAGCATATATAAATGTGAGTGAAAAGTGTACAAATAGGAGTGTGAAAATTGCTACCCCTAACAAATGACTTTTGAATTTTAAACAAATTCCAATTAGGAAAATCTTTACATGTTTTGCAGCATAACGCAGTTGAAAATAATCTAATTAAAACACAAAGTGCAACAAGAGAGGATAGAAATGAACCTGCCATTCCTGAGCATCTATGAGATGAGTGACAGCATCATGATTTGTTGCAATGAAAAGACATCCAGGGTCCGTATACAGAGTGTCCCATACCTTCCATCACATAAACATTGAATGCCACCAGAGAAGACTGCAATACATGTGACAAGTGCACTGCATATATAATAAGACCATAATGTTTATATGGTGTTGGCACTTGGTATAGTAACATGCATATTACCTTCCATTTAATACTTTGTAACACAATGTTTGCATATACGCCTGAATTTGAGCACAAGTACAGTCCATAGAAAAATAAAGAAAAAAAATATAGTGAATTGTGGCAGTTATGTGGCATCTCTTTTTCAATCCAAACCTTCAGACATTAAAGTCTAAATATTAAACTGAAGCCCTAATAATTTCTGAGGTAAGAAGAATCTAAAACAGAAGGTACTTGAAGCAGCAGTGATTCTTCAAATTTTAATTACAAAGGAAAGTACAGTACCTTGCAACAAAATTAATTTGCAGTGTGTTCAACACACATGCATTGACATAAACAAGAATCACCAGAACTAACTGAATTCTGTAGTAGCTGAAATTTCAGTCAAATCCAACCACAACAGCTCCAACCTAGAAGACAACGAACAAACAGATCTAGCAATATTAAAAGTTGATAGAAGAATAACGAAAGAAAGAACCTCACATGTGTATGGTCAGTTCAAGGTTCCAAAAAGGAATACAAAAGCTCTATTGAGAGAAAGTTCTACTTGTATTTCTATCAATACAAACCCAATAATAAACAAAGTTCTATGAGGCAAGAAGGGACAGAAGTATGCATTATCATCATGCTCCATCAGAAATCCAGGCTTCAGATCTATCTTCTTCCCACCGTCTTCCTGTAAGAAAAGGAAAGCATTTAAAAAAAATACTTCTCATCACATGTAAAATAACAGGGGCATATTAATGAATAAAAAGAATTATAAACAACTTTAGCCCAGTCCGTCCCTCAAACTACTAATTATAAACAACAGTAACTACCTAACTTTTCCTGATACTTTAGGGCCTCAGGCACACGAGCACACAGATGCATGCACACACAAAAAGATGATGTTTTCAAAAGATTATTGTTTGGTGGGGGGAGAGAAAAAAAAAAAGATTTTCTGGAGCAAACTGCATGGTCCCGGGAGAGGGGCATGCAGGCTATCCTCCTTTACTTCATCCACTACCTCAACATTCATATTAAATAATTACCAGGGGAACTTTCGGTTTCTAAATATTTACTTTTACATCCAAAGAAGATGTAGACCTCGTTATGTCTCTCAAGCAACAATTTGCTATTTAGAAGGATATGTACATATTATGGACAGGGTGCCTGAAGATCTTTTAAACTATAGGTAAGCTTTTAAGCTTTATCCTAAATTTAAAATGAAACTGAAGATACAAATGCAAGGAAAATAATGACACCAAGTTTTGGGCAATGCTCTTGTTAGCCAAATGAACAACATGTCATTTGATTTCACAGACTAGGATATAAAATAGAAAAAGTACAAGTAACAGCATCATGTACTGAAACTATATGATTTCGGACTCATACTTACTGGTCCACCAAGGTATTGATGTCCAGCAAGCTCAAGCTCCTTCAAGATACCTTCCTCCCCAATCACATAAACCTATAGAAGGCTCGATCATCAGTCTATTATCATCTAAGTTCATGATTAACATGCACCAGTTAATTCATTTAGTGCTAATCATGACGTACCAGATGCAAGGAAATCACAACAAAATAAAGTTCTTTCAGAATACGCAAAACTTGGAATCCCCATGGAGAAACCCACTAGCAAACACAATTCACCATGCCTGAAAGGCTCAATTAGTATGTATCCATAACTGAAGACTCAACAATAAGTCGAAGTCGTCGCATAATGCAATATGGCTCATATTTTCAATATCTACAATCTCAAAATTATAGCAGAGTAGAATTAACATTACCATGATTTTTTATAACCTCAACTAAACCAAATATCAAGATCAAATGCGATAAACATTAGCACAATACACAAACTAAATTCACATTTCTGATGAATCAATAAAACCTAACCTAAGATCAAAATCAGCAGCATTAACATTACCGCAACACGGGGAAAAAGTAAGAAAATTTGTGATCAAACCCAACATCAAAATTAAGCGAAATTAACATTTCACAACTAAAAAGGCTCGACTTTCACAACCCAGAATCAGAATGAAGAAAATTCAGATAACCAAAATCATTTTATAGAAACTAGAATAAGAAAATAAAAGACCTGAAACTGTCATAATTGAAAATAAAATAAGCAGAAAGCCACCTGGTATCGATGTGAGGCAACATCATTGGAATTGTCAGAGTCGTTGTCGATGAACTCGTAATCCACAACTCCAACTTCGTCGCTGTCCATAGCGGCAGCTACGTCGTCGTCTCCGCCACTATTCGAATTTATCGGCTATACTTTTTAAACTGTATATGACCGATCTTGTATACTTGTTTGAAGTTAAGTCCGGAAAATAAAAAAATTAATAAATAGTATAGCCGTTCGGCTGTACTCTATATTCGAATATATCCAAACAGCACAGCCGGCTATGCTTTTTAAACAGTGATCTTGAGATGGAAAATATGTTTTAAAGGTTAACTCAATTCTTTTTCTTTTAATTACATAATCTGTTAGATAAGTTAAATTTTTAATAACACTAGTATTCAAACTTAAGAAAAATATAAAGTTAATACCTTGGTCCTTATTTAGAAAATAAAATTAATAAATACATCCTCGGTGGTTTTTTTTTTTTTTTTCTCCTGGATTGAAAGTAGAATTAGTGTTCTTCTAACTGAAGGCATCCTCAAACCACACGTTACATCCCTTGGTCATTTATGTAAAACTCAACAAATTGTAAACATGCAATTTACCGCTTAAAAGTCTTTACTTGAGGCTATAGCCTATAGTTATTACACTTTGGATTGCAATGGAACTATATATACACAAGATTAGCATCTGTCTCTTAAGTACCCTCTCATTGCCACAAGCTCACAACTGCTTATATTGAACAGATATGTTATTAGACAGCTTATTGACCATTGATTTGTAAAATGTTGCCACTGGGGTGTGGATGAAGGTGAGCTAGCCATCATAAGGGAATCTGCATGGCCGATAAAAAAATAAAACTATTGATCAGCTCACCATTGGGAAACAGAAGTCGAATCGATCTCATGAGGCATTTGCGACCTATTCAAACGTGTCAATTGTCTTTTTGTGAATAATCTACCTAAATGTATCTATTATTAAGGGAACATAAATATAAATCCTAAAAATTGAGGATGCGAATTTTAGTCAACTTTATTAATTTGAGTGAAACATTTGTAGGAATAAATCTTACAGAATTTTGGATTTTGTGGGTAAAGTAGACGAAGGTTCACATATATAATGATCACTATGCCATATCCCATCGCATGTTTGGCTAATAATTGTAAATGCGGCTGTGTAAAATCTAGAAGATGAATGTTGTTTGTTAGGGTTTGAAATTGCATCCTCTCCATCCTATGTCTAATTTGAGTTTCATTTTCCCCGCAAACCTATTCAACACCAATATTGTTTTGTTGGTTTGGCCTAAGTTTCCACGAAATTTAAAGTTTACAATTTTATTTTTTGAGAACCAAATTCAAAGTTTAACATAATGCAAGGTTACATAGAGTAAAATTTTGACCCAAAAAATGAATAAATTTTTTAGATCCTTAATACATCACCCGTTACATTGTGCAGTTCCATAGAATTGAGATAAATACAATGCTAAAAAAAAAATTATATATATATATATATATTTTTGTTTAGTGGAAAAGAACTAGGGCTTCATTTGGTTTACAGAAAGAATTTTATGGGAAATAATTTCTCATCTAATTCCCCAAGGGATGAGAAATGGAAGATTCATTTTTCATGTTTGATAATATTGGAAAAGTAACCATGAAATACTGCGTTATTCATTTCCCATATTTGGTTTGTGCAAGAATGTAAAACAAAGTTTTTTTAATTTTCCAGTTATATCCATATGAAATCAAATAATAAAATAATGCATTTAATGCTATATTGTAATTCTAAATTGTCATAAAAAGTGTGCATTTAATGCTGGCTAGTTTTCTGAAACTTTTTTATAGGAAGGGAAAATGAAACCCAAGGGGGAAGAAGAGTTATATTTCCCTCTTATCTATGTAACTGGCAACCATTTCTCATACATGAACTTACCAAACTTGGGAAACCAATTAATTTTCTATCCTCAAACCTCATTTTCCATAAACCAAACACAACCTATAAGTAAAGAAGTGAGCTTATTTCATATATTTATAAATTAAATAAAAAACAGTAGGCTTCTAGCCCTCAGTACCAAACATAAAAAAGAATTGGAATTCTGGCCCTCAATACCAAAAAGAAAAAAGAACTGGGCTTTGTAAGGCGAGGCCCAATACTGAATGGGCATAAGGGAGACTTTGGAAAAACACAAATGAGAGAGAAATTTTGTAAAAGAAGCCAAAATGGACAAAATTGCCCTTATTTATTTTTGGATTTCCTAAGGAATCCTTTACATTTGCATGTCTTTGATTTGAAAATTGAGAGGTTTTTTTGTCTTTTTTGAAAAAGCTTTGGCTTTTTCCAAAAGTGAAATTTTTTTTTGGCTAAAACCTAAATTTACTTTAGGGGGGGGCTAATGGTCCCCGAATTTTGACCCGATTCACATTTTTGGTTCCTTAATTTCCAAAATCTTTCTCATGATCCTTCAACTTCAAATGAACAAATGGTCATGCCGTTAATTTTATTAACTTTTTTCTGTTAAATGCAGGGGCAAAATGATATTTTTGTATTAAAACCAAAAAATTAAAAAAAATAATAAATCTCTCTCCCGATTTCTTCCCCCACAGCCACCCTCCACCTAGAGCCTCTCTTCAATTGTTGTACAAAGGTCAAGGAAGACTAGCTTACTTCCCTGGGTTCTAGGTTGAAGGGGTAGGGGGAGGAGGAGGGGGGAGGAGGAGGGGTTCTGGGTTCGTCAGGGGTTAGAGATCGGTGGTCATGGGGGAAAAGAAAATCGAAAGGGAGGGGGAGCTGGGTGAAGGGTGGCTGTGGGTTGCCCTCTTTGCTCTCTCTTCCTCTCATTTAAATCTTGAGTATGCAAGTAAACTTTCTTGTTGCTGATAGAGGGAGAGGAGAAATCTAGGTTGGGGGGGAGAAGAAATATGGGGAAGAAATCGGAATAAAGGGAGAGAAGAGAGAGAGATTTATTTTTAATACAAAAATACCATTTTGCTTTTGCATTTAACAAAAAAGATAACAAAATTGATGACATAACCATTTATCCTAACAAAATTGAAGTTAAAGGACCATGAAACGATTTTAAAAATTGAAGAACAGAAATGCAAATTGAATCAAAGTTTAGAGACCATTAGTCCTATAAACCCTAACATTGCTTCTCTTTTCTAGCCAAAGGCAGCAAAGTAGGGTGGGGGCTTGCTAATTAATTAACTATTTTTAATAAGAGCCCCACTTGGCAGCTGGCGATTCGAAAGGAAACAAATCTGACCTAATAAAAAAGAAGGGACCTAATCTGGCAGCTGGCGATTCGCATGGTTGTGATGAACCCATTAGGTAATAGGTCCTTACTCCCAAGCCGCAATGCCTAACGTAGCCCTAGTGCTGTCGACGTCCCATTGGCCGAAACAGTTAGGCTTCTGCATCCCACATGTGAAACATGGCTAACACCAATTGCTCCACTCCACGTAATCTCTGTCACAATTGGATCCGGTGTGTGGGTCCCAGTGTCATGAGCCACGTCGGACATTTACGCTTATTTATAATTTAAAAAAATCGTCTACACGTCCCAATTAAACAACGTCTTTCAGTTCTGAAAAAATTAAAGAAATTTTTTTTTGGTTGGATCCCATAAAACAACTTAAAGGCGGAGAAAATGACTTCGAAGCACCGTGAAATATAGCTTTAATTTTTTTCAGTGAAAGTCGTAGTCTTTGTGTGAAATGTTTCTCCAGAGAAGAAGAGCTGAGCCTGAAACTGCTTTCCTATGGGGAAATAATTATGGTATTTTTTTTCTCTCTCTTTTTCTTATTTAGGATTTTTAAGTTTCTAAATGCAAAATGTATATTTGGAGGGTAATTTATTTATTTATTTATTTATATATAAAATGGGAATATTTTTAAAATGTTTTCTTTCAGTTTGGATCGCCTAAGACGAATTGAGCTTGTTGTTTACCCAGGGTAACAATGACGGGTATTTTTTTTTCTCTTTCGTTTCCTTATGTTTGGAAGATCTGTCTTTGAATTCGTGTTCACTTAGATTTCTTTTTTGTTCTTGTTCCGAAGTTTTCTGGGCTTTAAACTTTTCGATTTATTATTAGCTTATCAATCGATTTGGGGTTCTTGTTAGTGCTTCTTCTTTGGATTTAACTTTTTCTTCGATTTTATTGGTTATATAGCTTTTTATTTATTGCAAAACAAATTTTTTGTTGACCTTTAAACTGTTTATGGTGTTTCATGTTTAAGCTAAATAGTTGGCACTGTTGTACATGGTACTTTATTTGACTAATTTCTTTTGTTATTATTTTTTTTTTTTAGTACAAGTGATAGTCTACTTTAAACTAGAGAGAGGGAATTTCTCACACACACACAACTATGATGCGTAGGAATTCGAACCTAAGACCTCTTGTCTTGTCTGTAAGTCCAGTGGCGAAGCCAAGATTGTATGTGTGGAGGGGCCGAACCGTAATACAAGTATAGAAAAAACAATTCAATCTTACATCAATAATATATATATATATATATAAAAGAAAAAATTACATTTTTTAGAACACTTAATTTCATGTATCAAAATGGAAAAGTCTACTGATAAAATCTCATTTCCCTTTAAACTATTTATTTTCTATTCCCCCATTTTTTTTTTGTCAAACTATTTTCTATTCCCTTGGCTCATCGGTTTGATTATTAGAGGATTAATACTTCCTTTTTTATGCCAGTTGTATAATGGGCCTACAAACAATTTACATATAATTATAAATGAAGTTATTTATGGATTGCAATTGGGGGGGCCACTAGAATGGTTATATGGTCTGCATTGTTAAATATATGAACTAAAACCCAAGGTTGACTGCGTTGAGAACAAATTGTGGAGGGGCCAGGGCCACCTCAGGCCCTAGTGTACCTCCGCCCCTGTGTAAGTCATTGTCTTTTTTCACTTGACCCCATTTGGCAATTTCTTTTGTTAGTAGAGGAGATAAAAAGAAAGTTCTATATTCAATGATAATAATTTGATGCAATGCAAGTACTATAATATAAGTATAAATTGACAACAACAAAGAAGCGAGTGTATGAACTGTTTAATCAAACTTAAAAAAGGTCAATTCAAGTCTAAATAATCACAAGTGTGAATATCGTGGCAGCAACATCAAAGAGGTTTTGAAGTTGAGATTCGGAGGAAATTAGTGAAGTAGAAGAGAAACCAAATGGAGAAAGCTTGTGAGTTGTGCTTGGTGCTAAGGCCAGTTGTATACTGCAAAGCTGATTCAGCACATCTGTGCCTTCCCTGTGACGCAACGGTTCATTCTGCTAACCCAATTGTTGGCTGCCATCACCGAACCATTCTATGTGATTCGTGCAAATACCGGTCCGTGGATATCGAGTGTTTGGATCACCTGATGTTTATGTGCCGTGTATGTGACGCGAGCCTGCACAGGAAGTGCTCTCCCCGTGGCCAGCATCGGAAACGGACGTTGGCCAGCAGTTTCACAGGTTGCCCGTCTGCCAAGGACTTTGCAGCATTTTGGGGTTTCAAATTGGATGAATCTGATGGAGTGGGATCAAACAGTCAAAGATTTAAGAAGGTCGAGATCAGAAGGAAAAAAAACAGCAGAAAAATAATTGAGTAATTGTAATTACACTGATTAAAAGTGTGTGCATGATCATAATCTTCTTATAAGTTATAAGAGATGTATATTATACATATATCTTGCAGATATCTCGTGGTAATGGTCATGGAGGTCACTATCAGAAAAGAAGTACTGGCAATAGTTTTATTCTGGACCAGATTATTGACTTGAAAAGGCTTCAGCTGAGTCAAGATCAACCAAATCAAGAGAAATCTTCTTCAGTGCATGAACATCAAAACCCTTCAAGGAGTTTGGAACATGGTCTTGATCATCATCGTTTACAACATTCCCAGGATGATCTCGGCCGTACTGGATCTCAGCAAAGGGACAGCTGTCTACCTGATCAGGGTCTGATGGTCAAATTTGATCCTTTGCCCCTTCCATTTCCTGAACAGCTGGAGCAATATTTTCCATCATCTTCAAGCACTGCAGGGTTTCCATTGCATACAGAATCATTTTGGCAGGGTAGAAGCACGGTGCAGAAGAGTCCGGTATGAAAATTGCATATGAATGAAGAGTTCCAGTTTTCATTCTGTTATGTAAGTGGTCATCTGAATTCTCTATGGCTTGATTTTGCAGCTGTGGTCTCAAAATATGCAAGACCTTGGGGTTTGTGAAGAACAAGCTTATGATCATCACGATCCCAATACACCTGATGTTGATTCGACATTCCGAAACTTCGAGGAATCATTTGGAGGTGATCAGCAAGATGTGTCATACTCCTCCGTGGAGAAGAAGGGCCATGCAAGAACAGCCAAGGTGTGTGTGAATAATGATTTCCATTTTCTTGGTTCTTTTCTTTCTTGATTAAGAAATAAGTTATTGTGGTTGTTATTTTATCACCATGACACTGACTTTTGGTTCCATTTTTCAACAGAGATAAACTTACGAAGGCAATCTCAGCAGTTCTTGAAAGTGCTATATAGAGCTCCAGCAAGTTTGTCATTATTTTAATCATGAGTGTTTTATTATTATTATTCTTTTATACTATACTATTATGTTTCGTGCACATAACCTCACAGATAAACAATGTTATCTACCTGTGTTAATTACACATAAATAAACAATGTTTTCTTCTTAATGTAATTTTATTTTGCTATTAGTGTAGCCCCGTTGACCTGCTGCTGACTTATCCTGTTAGGGTAACAATGTCAGGGTGATATATGCCGTTGATCAGATCTCGTGGTCAACAAATTCGACGGCCTCCATAAGATTTAGCCATCCACATGATTTTCTCAGGCCCAAATCTGGCAAGAGCTGCGCGGAACTAGCGAAATATGGCCAACTGTCATGAAAATGAAAGAGAAACTATAAAGCAGTTTGTTTAAAAGGAAGCTTAATTATATTGAGGGACTTGACAGCAATGCAATAAGAAAGTGTTCTGCTAGAGCAGTGGCACTGCTATTGGAAGGGAATGTGGGATCTTATTATGACTCACCAAACATCTGATACTAGATTTTGATGGGAGAGCTATCAGAGAAGCAGGTAGTTAAAGCTGTGATCAAGAAGCAACCTCCTTCCCTAAATAAAATCATGATGCCTTTTTTTACCCCAAAAAAATAAATCATGATGCCTTTCTCATCTTAATGCTGCTACTTCTCGTGATCTGTCTATGTCATCACCAAAGCTGAATATTGAAGAGCGCTACCCCCAAAGGGAAAATAAAACCAAGATCACCAGTTACTTGATAGATTTTACAATTTGATTGTCAAATTGTCACGTAGTGTTATTAATCAGTTAATATTATGATAATTATATTCATTTATTAACCGTACATTAAATTTATGAAATATCAATCACTCATTCATCTCGTATTATAATTCTTGAATTAATAACACTATGTGATACTGACCCAACAGTTTATCTTCCTGCTCACTTTCTCTCCTTAAGCTTCCAAAACAAGCAATTACAATATGATATTGTGCCTCTCTAGCTAACCGCAAGCAGATCATGTTTGACAGCTTCCATAAGCTGTCTCACCTCTGAACATCTTTAATTTCCTAATAAAGAGATAAATATGTAGAGCCATTAAGATTGAGTAACTTGGAACTCTCATGCACAATGATTTTGATATGATTAGAGATATAACAATTTCTTAAAGTAATTGTTTACAAGGAGATTAGCACTAATATTAATTCAGTTTCTGCCTCTACAATATTATTGAAAAACTTATCAAACCAGATTGAGCATATCATATGACCTACTGAAAGTGAAAACCATGGCTTACATGGAAATAGACATTGGTCACACAATGTGATTGTGCCTAATGGTAAAAACATAAATGTGAGGGTAATTCAGTCATTTAAAGTGGATGTTTGGGATTTGTAACATTTATTGCTGGTGTGCGACTGCGCTCTGTGCATGTGACTACGGACTTGCTATTTGTAACTTCGTGTGTGAACACACAGAGAGTGAAAGTATCCCCTGCGGGTGCGTGTATCTTTAACATCATAATGCCTCCCACATCTGGTGAGTTAGAATGTTTAAGGACCGTTTGATCAACTGCATTACAATCCAAAGGCTCAAATTAGCTGATGAAATAACTTCCTGCTCCTCAGTCTCAACTGAATCGATTCCTCAAATGACGAAACAGCCCCTACATAATCCAAAGAAGCTGGGGTAAGAGTGTGGGCAGATCAAGTAAAAACCATATAGCTGCCTTGATCATAAAGCTGATATGGCATTCGGTTAGCATTGTCTTCAAAACAGTTTTGGATTCGTTTTGCTCCTTCCCTTTCCCTCCAAATGCCTCCACCCATATCCCCACGCCTATAAAACAAGCCCTGTACCAGAGCACCTCCATCCGTCACTCTTTTCACTCGAACCGATCGGAGGATCCAGAGCCTCCTCTGTTGCTTCTGAAGGTAAACCATTACTGTTCCTCTCTCTCTCTCTCTCTCTCTCTCTCTCTCTCTGTGATTAAGTATTTCTATAACAGCTTTTGTAGTCTCTGCCTTAATTCTTTGTTCGATTTCTCATCAATTTGTTTGATATATCTTTTTATTTTCCTTCAAAATTATTGAAATCTGGATCTTCTTCTTTAGCTTAATTAGCTTGTTGCGGAGATTTAGAGCAGTACTCTGTAACATTCCAGAGTATCAAACGGAAGCTTCCAGGCAATTTTCTTGATTATAAGGCGAGATAGATTTCTTGTTTTTTTTTTTTCTAATTGAAATTGACGCTGTTTGTATTGTTTCTGTAATTCATTTACAGCAAAACTCCAACCGCGGAAATGCACAACGACACCGCCTCCTCCACCGCCAATGGCGGCCTCGCCATCTCATCGCCGTTCAAATCGCAGCCTCGCTCAGACGACGCCGTGTTCTCTTCCCTCTATTCCGCCATCTTCGATCGCAAGCCGTCCCTCGCTCGATACAACGAATCGGAGCCCGACGCGTCCTCAAATCTCCCCCACCGCCAACTCTACCACTCTCTCCTCGTCCAAGACCACCAGGAGATGGTCAACCGCCATAGCCGCACCCTCAAGCAACTCCACGAAGCCTCCGAGGAAGCCGACGCTCTCCGCCGCGAGAACATTCATCTCCGCGCCCTCAATCTCGAGCTCAACAAGCATCTCAGTCTCCTTATCCACGCCTCCGTCCAGAAACAGTTCGTTTCCCCCGGTTCTGTGGAGACGACACCGTTTGGGATCGTAAATAGGCTTCACGGCATGAGTATTGATGACAAACGAGCAGAGGAGGATGAGTCCGACGAGAGCCCTACCAGCGTGATCGAGAGCGAAGGCGCCGACGCCGAGAATATTGATGCGGAGAGGTTTACGCTGCCTAAGAGCATATCTGTGAGGTCTAATGGATACGTGAAGGTTGCTCAGCCCGGTACTAGCACTGCCGCTGGGACTCGGGTCCCGACTCGGCCTCGCACCGCCAATACATTCAACGCTTCAGTAAGTCATTCCCGATTTACTCTACTGTTGAATTTTCTTTTATTTATTTTACTTCGTCTGTTTGTGTGGCTCACTACTAAGAAACGTAGCGATTGATTTTTAATTTTTTATTGCGGTAATTAGACTGCTACTGTCAGGTTTAACTAATTAGATTGTGAAGTGGAATTGCTTGAAAATGTTCACCAATGGAGGATGAGATCCATCGAGTACTAGGAAGAACTTGCTTGATCTCATTGCACGCGTTTCTTAAACTTGAGTAGTGCAAAATAATGCAGTATCTGTTCATATTTCAATAAAACCAGTTTTTCCTTTGCTGCATTTCTGCTTCAATTTTATTTTTTGCCGTGGAAATCTTATTTGGGATCCTAGGATTTAGGCTGCAATTTCATTCACATGAGCAATATGCAGTTATTGTTTGACATTGGGATGATGTAAAGAGCCCAAACACCCAGTTTTGTTTCATTTCACGGTCTACGTCAATAATCCATATGCACACTGCACCGACAACGCGTAAGAGAGTCATTTGTTATAGACAATGCATAATGCATTTAGTACATTGACAGAGTAGAGATTATATGATTCCGTCTTTACAATTCTTGAAATATTACTCAAATGTACGTACTGTCCCAATTAATGTTTTTTGTGTACTGATGGTGGTGGGCACTGATCACGGTGATGCAGCAAAAGGTGTACGTTCCTACTGGAGGGATGAAGGAGCAGGAGCCACTTGAATTGGAGGTGTACAACCAAGGCATGTTCAAGACTGAACTCTGCAACAAATGGCAGGAGGCCGGTGAATGCCCTTACGGAGAACAGTGCCAATTTGCACATGGGATTGAGGAGCTCCGCCCGGTGATTCGACACCCACGCTACAAGACGGAGGTCTGCAGGATGGTCCTTGCTGGTGTTGCCTGCCCATATGGTCACCGATGTCACTTCCGCCACGCCCTCACTGAGAATGAAAAGTTCATGGGTCCAAATAAGCCCAGGGCAATGAAGCTGGCCAGGTAAAATATCAGATTTCATAAATATGATGGCGACAGAAGAGTAATAAGATCGCAACTGAGGTTTGAGTAAACAGGAGAGCCAAGTGTTTATATTACGTATGCCTCCAATGGGAACCGTATATAACACCAATTATATGGTAAGTATAAAACAAGGACATGCATAACATAACAATAATTAGTGTCGTCTATGATCTGCGGTGAAAGTGATCAGGAAAGTGTGCAAGGCGTCGTTGCGCGGATGGTGGACAAAAATGAGGAGGTTTATTGAGAGATGTGAGCTCTTGTTTCATATCGTATCTGTTGTTTTGGGGTTCCATTAAATATGACTTTTGATTACATTAGGAAGTTGGTGATGTCAAACCGAGCACCCGAAGAGACTCTCTTTATCATGTTGTTGTTTGGTAATGATTGGACTCATATCATTCAAAAAGCTATTCCTCTCACCCAATTAATTTTCCTCATATATTTCTTTAAATTTCCCTTGGATTGAATGATTGTCCATAATTGCCCATTTTCTTTAGGGTAACGATTTCCCCACTTTAATTTTATCTACTTACACTCTTTTTTTAGCTATAAAATAAAGTGTAAATGGATAAAATTGGAGTGAAAAAATCACCACTCTTTCTTTATAGTTCCTTTGTTTGTGCTGCCGTATCCGGGCAGGGCCAGATGCTGAACTTGTTAAGTAATGCTCTTCTTTTATTTGCTGTTTATTCATTTTATTATTATTATTCTTCATATTATTATTACTTCTTTTTTCTTTATAAAATTCCGAATTATTATTTCAATTTGGTGTCGAGATTCATTTCCAAATTAAATGAATTTTGCGGGGGGAACAGAAACCCATTCATGTTAGGCTATTAGCCCAAATAACCGAGATAGTGAAGAAGATGGAGAAAATTTTAGGCGCAGTAATATTAAGAAAGGGCTTCCGATTAGTCTAGCCCAACAACTGATCTAATAGAGGGGAGGGAAGAATTTTAGGCCCACTAATCTTAGCAAATTATTATTATTTCTTAACTGAAACGAACTGTGCTCTTTTTCAGGAATTTTCTTTTTCTCTTTCTTTTTTGATGAATCTCAGGAAAAGAATTTAACTCGTACGAAAATATTAAACCAAACTTCGATTAGAAATCCGATCAAAGAAATAAACTTTAGTGTTGGAGAAGTAAGAGTGTGTTGGGCTAGTGAGTTGGGTTTCTGTACTACACTTGACCCAAGTTTTGTTCATTCTACAACAAATGAACCAGTCCAAACTACTACAACACTAGGGGGTTATTCAGTACGGTGGATTATTATAGATGAGACTAAATCTTGAGAATATTTTTTTAAAAATTTTCTTTAAAGTGATAATATTTTAATTATCAACTATTTTAATTATAATTCCAAGGCCAAAAATTGGTATTAAATTTTCCAAAATTTGCCTATATTTTAAGAACACTTCCCTAATGCAAATTGTCAAATCATCACTAAGTAATTGCAAACACAACATACAATTGCCATCACAATTTGCAAAAACAAAATGTCTGTTTGTCAATTGCAGAACCATTAGCCACATGACCTCTACCGTTTTATTCTTCCTTTATTCGTTCAAACATGGTGAGACAAGCTCCAAACCATCCCAACATCATATCAAGCAAAAGTCATACAATATTTATAGATGCAAAAGTTAGATATTTTATATATATGCAAAAGTAATCCACATGGCTTGAAACTATAAATATCCATAATTCAAAACTAAGACTAATAAAGTAGCAAAAACAAAATCAATAGCAGCTACTTGTGGTGTTTCCGATTTATCGGATGTTGCCTCCTTCAAACATTTTCATTGAGCAGTTGCTCAACAAAGGGCTTTTTTTTATATCAGCATCAAGTGACTTGAACATAGATATTGTTGAGCTTAAATGGTGAAGAGTTTTCAACCATATCAATATGGCTGAGAATAGTTGCAGACAATGCCATTACAAACCCTGCAAACAATACAAACAATCCAAACAAGATTGCCAAAATCATGAGTTCTCTTATTGCAAATGGAATTAATTGATGGCAAGAAGCAAAATCTTGTACAGTTACACTTTCCAAAAGAAAACATAGTTATGATTTGGATAACAAAAGGATTGAGCTTCTTAGCCCCCAAAAAAAAAAAAGACGCAGAGGTGAGCTGGAAACAACATTTGGAATAAGCTGTACTTCCAACCATGCTCTTCAATTACCTTTGTTGGTTTTAAACATTATCAAAAGATAGAAAATATAAAATTTTGAGTTTTGAAATAAAAACACAAATTTTTTTTTCTTTGGAAATCAAAAGAAAACTTGGTTTTTCCTTTCTTTTTTTTTTTTTGGTTTTTTTTTTTGGGTGGTATTGTTTCTTTGGAAATCAATCCAATCAAACCCTTTACTTTTGTGAAACTCCACTTTCTTTCAAATGCGAGAACATAGCAGAAGCACAACAAGAAGAATTACCAGCATAAGCAGATCAAAATTTGTTCGCGCTAAATCTGAACAGATAAGAGTTTAGGCTAACTTACAAGTGTGCTGATGGTTGAGGATTGGAGTGATCTTCTTCCGTGATGTCCAAAGGTTAGAGCAGGGGCTGGATTCGAACTAAGGAGGGGATACCGGTGTGGTACCTGCCGAAGGCAATCCAATGCCAAAGTTAGTAACTAATAGCGATTCTATTGACAGTGGAAGCACTAGTCAAGTCAGAAAGTCTTACCACTTGGCTGGGCCAATGGGCTCTATTTATAGAGAGCATTTGTGATGCTCCTAGCACTTAGTTTCGATGTGGGACTTGTGGGAGTGTCTTCGGAGATCGACACGTGCTCTGACAGGTTCCGACAGAAGTTTTGAGGTAATATGACAGAAGTGGATTGACGTGATGGTTGGTTGCTCGGCAGACCATGCCGAAGGTTAGCGAAAGGACTGATGGTGCATAGTCGACGTCTGAATCGGTACAGCGTGCCGAACGAACATTCGGTATGGCCCGGTTAAGCTGGTCTCGGCTTTGAGGGTGTTCCACGTGTCACGACGTGAGTGGGCGGTCAAATATGGTACAAACAAAATTGAATCCCAAAGTTTCTTTTTCTCTCAACTTTCTGCTAATTTGGGTTTGTTTATGTGTATCCTCTATGCTCTTTCTCCCAATATCAGACATGAAAACCATTTATTCTTTTTTCTATCTTTTTATATCATCATCACGCGACTATCCACAATGCTCCAATTCCACCCATTAGTTTGTTCATAGCTTCTCATTCCAAACAAAAACCCCATAATCAAAACAATTCAAAATTGAAAACCTTAGAAAAATACCGAATTATAATCCAACGAAAATTTGTCACGTGCTTAGTGGAATTGCTTAAAGTAGTGGCTACGTGCCTTCAGTTGTTGAATACTGATAGAGTTGCATGTCTTTTAAACTTTAGTTGAGTAATTGTAGAAGTCTAGTTAGTCACTCTCATAGTGGAGAGATGTCCTGAGAAAGTATTTCCTATTTTTATGCTTTAAAGAGTCTGGTCTATGTATAAATTCGATTGGCTTTTCATTAATGGGACAGCAGATAATATTCCTACTGTTAGCTTATCTAAGTTGGAGGTTTTGGGTTCCCTCGAAGCAACCTTTTTCATCTAATTCTTATCCCAACTGAGCTTTCTAGCAACCATAGGAGGCCGTAAGAAGAAGGCTACCTACCAACTCCTTATATCTAATCGCCCAATCACACGAGCCATGTCCCAAGCACGTAACAGCTTGGTTTCAGAGCTGGGCATGGAGGAGCAACGGGTAGCACGCTTGGAAACTGAAGTGGGCTCCCTAGCCACTGGACAAGAAAGAATACTCAAGGAGATGTAAGAGATGTTCTTAGCCATGAATGCTTACTTGGATCAAATTTCTCGAACTGGTGATGGATCCAGTAGTGCTTTCAATGGTGGTGGAGGCCGAACATTTGGAAGTGGATCCACCACTTCAAATTCTGGCAACTCTTACCTTTCTAAAATGGTGAAGCTAGACTTTCCTCACTCAACGGATTGGTAGATCCCACAAGTTGGATATGTCGTGCTGAACAATTCTTTGACTTTCACCACACTCCAGAAACGGAGAGAGTTCTGTTAGCTTCATTTAATCTTGAAAGGGATGGGCAATTGTGGTTCCAATTGATGAAGGAGGAAACCCCAATCACCACATATGCGACTTTTAAGAAAGGACTGCATGACAGGTATGGCCCCACCCAATTTCAAGACTTTTTTGGTGATCTAACGAAGTTACAACAATCAGGTTCGGTACGAGACTATCAAACCGAGTTTGAGAAATTAGTGATTAAAGCAGGAAGACTAACTTCAGATCAACAAGTTGGTTGTTTTGTGAGTGGTTTGAAGGAAAATATCAAAACTGATGTGCAAGCCTGCAAGCCGCAAACACTCTCCGCTGCGATCGGATTGGCGCTCCTACATGAGTTCCGTAATCATAAAACTAGGCGATACTTAACTTTAGAGGTGACGCGGCCCTGT